AAAATGAATCCCCTGTTGAAACAATTTGCTGAGAGACTCATTSTTTTGACACTAGCTATTGATAACACATGATCACAGCTTCTGAAGGTGTCCTTTAGACTAAATTGACTGTTGTTTTTAAAATGGAATTGTCATGGTATTTGGCGGAATAATACCATTTCTACCACCGTTCCTGCAATATTTATGTATTAAAATAAGATATTGTATTTTTATTTCAGTGTATCTCTGCTGAAAGTATATTTGAAGAAGTCAAGCAAGCAGAGTCTGGACATGGACATGATGAACATGGACATGAGCATGGATCTAATGAAACAGGTCTGGATGAAGATGAATTCCAAACAGCTAGTGCAATCATTATCTTTCGTCTCTTGCAAGGTTATTGCATCGCAGGRCATGGAACACATTCCTCACTTCCATCTCCSTCATTCTTCATTGGTGATTTGTACAAGAACAAGAAATATCTGTCTGAGGAAGATCTTGAGAAGATAACCTCTAAGTTAGGTATAGGCAAAAAAGCTGCCACTTCATCAACACCTGCTCCATCCAGCCATGATGGTCACGAYCATCGTAGAAAGAGAAGAGCTGTTGAAACTACACCAAAGSCAACAACTGCTCCACATAATGCAACTGTAAGTRTATCATTRAAGCTATGGAATGAATATCAACCAAACTCAAGGTCTTCTCTAAGCTTGTGGATTGCTTGGATTTTTTTMAACAGAGAGTGTTTTTGCTTSAAGATCGACAGATAWATATCCTAAGTAATTCAAAAGTTTCCACTAGTGGCAAAATTCCATGACATCAWTACTTCCCACATAATTGAGAATATTTTGATATAATATTATTCATACTTTTATATTCAGTGTTATTCCCTGGATTCTCTGATGACAGTGTTTGACATTGATCATAAAGTTGGAGTCAGTCAAGATTCCTTTAAGGAGCTGTGTCCAGCTTTGCTACAACAATTTCAAAGTGGAGTTTGTGCAAGCAAAAAGGCAACATCGAAAACTGGAAGTTTAGATTATGCAAAAAGTAAGCGGTTGCAATCATGCAGTAATGACATGTTATTTTTTTTAATTTCAAGTTTAATATCTCAAATTTAGAGTATTTTAATAACTATGATATCATGTACTATATATATAATATATACTGTATACATATTGATTTTGTTTTGCTTTTTTTTAGTATGGGGCTATGGTTTTCTGTCAGTTACCATTATCAGCCTGGTATCATTACTAGGTGTAGCCACCATCCCATTTGTTGGAAAATCAATGTACAAAAAAGTGTTGACATTGCTAGTAGCTCTTGCAGTTGGGTCGTTGGCAGGCGATGCTGTGCTTCATCTTATTCCTCACGTAAGACAAGACACATTTCCTCATCATCAACAGTTGAATTTTCCCCTTATAAGATATACGTCATAATATTGGTCTAAAAACATATTATAATGGGAATGTATTGTTATGCCACATATGAGATTCTTTGATTTCCTCCAATTTCGCCTTTGCCCCCTCTCCAGCCTCCTCTCTCACTTCCCTCTCTTCTCTCTCTTCCCCCTCATCCCCTTCTTCCCCCTGTATGCATCACCCCTCTCCCCTCCTCTATGCATCACCCCTCTCCCTCTTTGCATCACCCCTCCCCCCTCTATGCATCACCCCTCCCCCCCTCTCACATAATTTCACTGGCAATAAAATAACACATTGTTTTCAGGCTTTTGGTCTCCATGTCCATGATGAAGGTGAAAGTCATTCTCATAGTGGGCCAAGTCCCTTTATCTGGAAGGCTCTGTTAGTGCTGGCATCGATCTACTTGTTTTATCTCTTTGAGGTCATAATGCACTTTGGACTGAAACAGAAACACACTCATAGCCACGTAGATGTCGAGGTAAAGTTATTCACATA